CGTGGAAGTCTCAACCTTCTGTAAACAGTTTCTTCTGTCTCGCTTTATGATTACATACAAGACTCTGTATTTGAAGCATTCTTACTTAAGTTCTACTTTATTATGCTCATTGATCTCACAAAAAAATGTTTTATATTGGTATTGATATTAATTTTAGAAGGAATCTGATTAAATAAACGTCGTAATGCGATTACATCTTTTTTTTTATGATATTAACATCTTCTTTTTCAATGAATCCAGATTCATCTGAATAAGCTGCTTCTTTTTTGAAATATTCACATGCACACAAGTTTCTATGGCTCGTATTACTGAAGATTAATTTAAGCATCTAAATACACTTCTCAGTTCATCATTGTGATGCTCAAAGTCTCTTGTTTTCAATATAAAATGTGTTTCTTATCGTTCATTTGTGAACGTAAATTTAAAACTAAAAATCTATTAAGTTTCAATTTCAGCAGTTTGTTAACTTTATTTTATTCAAATTGAAAATAATCGAAAGTCTAAAACTTTCAGCTTTCAAGTTTAAAAAAAGAATTTACTGATATGAATTTTTAAACAAGTTAAAATTTCGGCTATAGTTTGAAACTTATTGAAATTTATAGAGTTCTCTAAAGATTGAGTTTCATAATTTGAATTAAACGATCTGCAATTTGTAGAGTGCGCTAAACTTAAATAGTATTTTTTTTCTTTGTAACTACTGAAATTTATAGAATTCGTTATACATAATTGTTACCGTAAATGCTATCAGCTGATTTTGATTTTGAACAGATCACACGATTATGCTAGTAAAATGAAGTAGAACAATGACTAGACATAATTGGTTGGGATGCAAAAGTATTTATACGTAATAATCATACATACAAAACATCATATTCTAAACAAGACGACTCAAAAGTATAGTAGTTAATGAGCATCTTCTTTTGATGAATACAGTTGGATTCGGCAGCACTGTAATTGAAACAAAAATATCAAATTATCATAATGAGCTACGACATAGTCTCCTTAAAAACTCGCTTTGTCTTTAACTAAAGTCGTACTTATTTTATCCCAAATCGACGATCCTTGCTCGTGCACTGTGATTATTAGTTTGTCAATAATAAAAGAAAAAAACTAGCTAGTATATTCTGTTTTTGAATTCTGTTGAAATTCTTCAGAGCGAGATTCAAAGGAAAACTTTAGTTCAACTGAAATCTAACGTCCTCTACAAATCGCAGTAACTACCTGAATCTTAACCCTTTCGATACTACATGTCACCTCGTAGATAACATGCAAATCTTAACATAGAAATTCTGCATTCTGTCGTCTTCCTGCATGATACATATGGTATGTATGCTCAAAGAAGCGCGTATCTTCTTTGCTGTGAAAATTATTTTTGCATTAAATTAGTGTAGTCAGAATTCGTGTGCAGCTGATTATCTAAAGGAGAACGCAAGCAGAGAGTGAAATATAGATTTTCTTGCACTTTGTATAGAATGCGATCAAATGTCGGTATTGAAAGGATTAATTCTAGTCTGTTTCTTGGTACTGCCATTGAATTTTGTTGAAGTAGCGTGTTCGTAATAATGCCTCACTAGCCAAGCAGAAAAAAGATTAGAAAAACGGGCTTAAAGGTACACTCGGGAACCGTAATTGTAAGTTATTAATGCTCATTAAGAAAACGCATTTATTAGTGTCTTTTATAATTTTCTGTGAGTCAATACGGCGAAAATTGCAGTTTTTGAGCATTAAAATTCCTATTATTCTAGAGCTTAAAAACAACGTGTTTTAACGCTCCAAAACTAGAATCTCGCCGTTTTGCCGCTCAGAAAATTATAAAAAATGCCAATAAATGCGTTTTCGTGCATTTTCTTAATAAGCATTAATAACTGACAATCCTAGTCCCTGATTATACGTTTAAATGGGTTTTTCAAATTTTTTTTCTGCTTAAGTAACGCTTTTCTTTTAAAATAAATGGAATATGTTTATGCAGAGTTTTCTTGAGAATTAAATGCTGAATCTTTTGAAAAAAAGTTCAATTCGATTCGATGAAAAAAATAAAAGATATTGAAAATGCAGTAGGACTCTCATTCTTTATTGCCCATCCTTTATATTTCGAAACAGTTGGAGCAAAAAAAATGTTTCATTGTTGGAACGATTTTTATTGTCACATTACTTAAAGGGAAGTGCATTGTTTAAGCAATTCATTTATAAAAAAATGTAATTCAATATCTAGTGTAGGTGTGAAGAAGGATATAATAGAAAAAGAAAGAAAAGAAAATAAGTCAAAAGAAAAAATCCAGGCTGATCGTTCCGTTTATGGGATACTACAGGAAGTGGCAGAAAAGACATAAAAAATCGTTATTTCTCAGACGAAAAAAAAGGGAAATCAATGGGACATAGAAGCAATATTTCGTTAAATTCTAGTGTTTTTCTGTAAGAACCGACTCGCAGTTCTCCGGCTGAGAGTATCCAAAAAAAGGATATAGAAAGAAAAATCGAAAGATACATATTAAGAGGAAGAAATATCGGAAAAACACAGACTTTGAAAGGAAAATATGTTAAATTATTAGGATATTGCTTTCGTATCAATCATCGAGGTACTGCATTCAAAGTGACTCACGGACAAAGCTGAAAATATATGGCACATATCTTCAGTTTGTAACAATAAGCCTTATAAATTCCATTGGTAATTTCATTGTTATCTTTATATTGTTTTACAAGCTTCGAGGGTTTTTCAAAAAATTTGGTGGCAATCAATGATACTGAATATTTTAGATCATCTTACTCGATTCAATAGATCATAATTTGAACAAGGAATCTTACAATGAAAAAAAACTGCAATCATCTATCTCGTTTCATGACAGAAAAATGACGATAAGTAATGATCTTAGAACATTACTAAATTGACTTTGAATATTTCGATATCCTAATAGTTTCTTTTTTAACTTATTCTTGTACTACTCCTGCAACGTGTCAATATTAATTTTTTCAGATTAAGTGTGATGGAAACGATGATGTTTAACTCTTACTAATTCACCAATTATATATCTGTTTAAATTTGAGATGCAATTTATATTTTCATCCCCATCGTATTGTGTTTTCGTAACCAGTTTTGTTGAGCTTTATGTATGATACGTACTCATTACGAAAAAGCATTTTTCTTTTTCTCAGAGAAAATTATTCATATTAGAAAAGATAATCATTTTATTCACAGTAAACAAACGATGCAATTTTTTTTTGAGTAATATCGTATTAGGTAAATAAAAATTTCCGTAAATGATCTATTTCAACAGCGCATATGATTGGCATTTCAAAAGTAGGGTGTGGGTGTGGGTGTGGGTGTGCGCGTAGATGACCAGAAAACCTATACCCACATTCACACCCACACTTACACCCATAGCCACCCACACCCACACCCACACACACCCACACCCACACCCACACACACCCACACCCACACCCACACCCACACCCACACCCATCGATTGATATTGACTTCGAGTTAAACGGCGGTTGGGGGAGTTAGAGGGTATTTTACAAATACCCAAATAAAACTATTTTCAATGAAAATTAAAGCTTTTTGATAATTTTAAGAAATAATAATCTAAATCGAAAGATTTTGATTATCTTTCTGACAAACATTTTTCTTGAAATCGGTCAGAAAGTTCTTGAACGATGTTAGAAATTTGAATCATCGATCAATGCTTTAACAACTCTCGATTAAGAATGGACAAAGTTGGAATGTTTCTCGAATCGGTCAAGTTTAGATTAAAATGTGAATATCCATAAATTATGTGAACCATTGATTTCAAACTAAACAGAACTGGTCGTGAATTTTGTTTTTATTGCTCAAATAATTGTTTATCAATATTTCTGAATGATTCTTTGCCAAAAAAAGGTTAAAAAAAATTAAATTGGTCATTCTTAGTTTGAATTGTGGTGTGGGTGTGAGGTGAGAGTAGTCAGACTGATGCTCACAGTCACACCCCCAACCCGATACCCTATATCAATTGAAATACGATGCGAACATCTTTCTCATTTATTAGTTTTGATTATCAACACAGATATTATTTATTTTCAAGCTTCCAATCTAATTTTAGTACTTTTGATTGTAATCGCAATTGTGGTAGCTCGTACTCATTCTCACCCTCAAGACATATAAATCAAATGTCAATTCTGTGCATTCATTATTGCAAATGTAGAAAATTCTAAGAAATTTTTCTTGTATGATAGAATACCACCAACTAAATCTACTGAATCAGTCAAGTGAAGAGAATCAATTTTCAAATAAAAAATATTCTGAAATCGAACCATATAGATCCTCGAATGATCAAATATTTAAGATAAAATATATATTTTTCAACCAAAAAGTTAGAAAATAATCATTGTTTAAACATCAATAAAAACTAAAAAGTAGAAAATTTGATCGAACTATTGACTGTCATGCAATTTCGTAAGTAAATAAAAAGAACAGTTAATAGTCGATTAAAATTTCATCATGTCGGTCACAGCTCGTGTTTGATCGACATCTTTCTCTGATTGTCATTGGTTGTATTGAGTAATTTTTTTAGTTTCTTTACTGTAATAATATGCACACCAAGTCGTTTCAATCTTTTCAATTGGCTTCTGATTGTTGGCAAGGTTACACCTCTACTCGCATCTTTAACAACGTATGTTATATAATTCAAATTGAAAGCATCAATAGCTGTGAATGTCACACAAAAATCTGTAGCCAATCCAGCAATAAAAACTTGTGTAACATTTCGTTCTTTCAACATATTGTGTAATTCGGTTTTTTTAGCTCCATAATTATCAGCAAATGCTGAATAACTGTCAATATCGGGATCAGTACCCTTTCTTATATGAATAACTCTAGTTGACGATGAAATAACATCGAGATCCTTGTGTAATGCTGCATCTTCCGTTCCCTGTATGCAATGTGCAGGCCATAGAACTTGCTCCATTTTGTATTTCGGACCAAAATACGTTACTTTATCGAACATTTTTATTGTTCGATTTTGATCACCTGCTAAATACTGTCTGCGAAAGTGAAGATTTTCAAAAAATGATATATGATTCCATGGATGCCAATCATGTGTATAAACAATAACATCAAATGGAATGGTATGAATTAAATTATTTATAATAGGAATAACTTCGGCGCCATCTTGACCAGCAGGACTTTTTGACAATGAGAGATTTCCATTTATAAAACAGTTTTGAACATCAACAACAATCAATGCATTGATCGGTTGTACTGGTTTTTTAACTAGAAAAGCATAAAACTAATATGGCACCGTTTTAACTTCTCTTCCTACCTCTCGATGTCTCTACTGCCCTTGAAAAAATTATCGTCTGTATTATTAGGATAGTAACAAACCAAAATAAATATAGCCGATCCATGTCCAAATAAAGTTTCGTTTACTCTAAAAGACTTGAAAATTTTGTGAACTATCAATGAATATCGAAAAAAAAGCGAAACATTTCTCACCAAACCGATACTCTTATGTAGATGCATCATATATCACTTATTCTACACCGTCCGATATTCAGCTTTAGATGATTTTATCAACATCCGATTAATGTAAAATTGAAAAATTCTTTTATATGATGTTGTCTTCTATTGTTATCATCGTATATAGTTCTACTTTTTACTTAGCATTTATATTCATTTTCCCTGTTTTAGTTTTTTAATTTATGAACAAAAATAAATATGCAACAGGGTTTCTCGAGAAAAATTGAACTTACATCGATTTTTACATATGAACATTGTATTTATTTTTTTCGAAGCTATTTCATCTAATTATGTAAAATAATGTAAGCACTTATTTTTTTAATAAAAATATTCATTAATTTAAATCAATAATAGGTCCTGCATACAACAGTAAAAATCATGTTTACATGGATAAAATCGCACAAATTATCGATATAATGGTGGATAAAAATCAACGATTGTTAGACATAAAAAGGTCAACAATATATTACCGTATGTTGTTGTTTGACAATTTAATACTGATGAAAAGAAAAATGACTCCATATGTCGAACCAAAGAAAAACAAACATAAATACTGTTAAAAAAGTTAATTACTAATGTTAATGTATTTTAAATCAATGAACCGTATCGATTCTTTTCTTTTGTCCTTATTCTTTTCCTTTTCTTTGATCAATATTCATTTTATTATTCTCTTTTTCTTTCTTAGTTTGATCATAAATCGTCTATGCCAAGTTTTTATCTACCTAACAAACATTAAATTCTTTTTCATGCTTCTTTAGTGAGAAGGCTTATATATATTACCTAGTTGTTATTTATTAAAAAAAAATTAGAATATCTAACCTTGAACAATCGCAATATACATTAATTTCTAATTGAAATCTTTCTCCATTTATGAAACAACAATATTCAAATTTTCTAACTAGTTATTTCTATTTATCAGTCAAACTTCCAGGATATAATAACTAACAAGAATTAAATTTCTGACACGAATTTGAGCCAAAATAATAATAATAATCTAGAAAATTAATAAAAAAATTAGATGCCGCTGATTGCGAAGAATTTTTTCTTTTGGTTGTAGTTTAAAATCAAGTTCTTCAAAGAAAATTAATTCATTAAATAATGCTAATGGTTTTACATTTTGGAAATAATACTCAGATTTATTATCTATAACATTCAAAAACAGAAATAAATCTGTAACATTCTCAAATATTTTTGAATAATTCATCAATATAATATCATATCTTTTTATCCGATTTTAGCTTGTATTCATTCCATAAACGGGGTATAGTATAGAGAAGTGTCTGAACTGAATAGAATTCACAATTTATATAGCAATGATGTTGTTTATGCCGAAAATAATTTTGAAATTAATGAAATTTAGTCAAAATAACATCGTTCTCATCTTTAATCCAAACAAAAAATTTATAGTTGAAAATATCTAAATGATCTCGTGAAGATTCAATTAGATCTTGCCAATGTTCACCATCAATTTCATTCATTTAATATTCAATAGTCATTATTAAGATTTTCAAATTCGAGGTCATTCATCTTACTTCTTATATAGTGGTAAGACATACATTTGTTCTTCTTTCTGTTCGTCACGGTAGTTCACTATTAGTGACACGTGTGTGAACACGTGACCCAATTATCTTTGTTTTACCCTCCAACATAAACCCGATTAAAATTAATAATCATGTCAAAAAAAGATCCAAGTTCGAACAAATCAATGAAAGTATTCAATGATGTCAAGAAAGATTGGCGTGATGTTGAACTTACATTCTTAAAAGAATTAAATGAAGATTATCCTTTATGATCATCACCAAGTGGTAATGAAAAAGGTGAAAAACGATATAGAACACCAAGTGATGAAGAGTATGATTGTAATTCAAATGAATTTTATACTTCAAAACGATCTAGATCAAATCAAGGGAAATCTTGCACCATTGCCAATTGTTTTTATGCAGCGACTTCGATATATAATCATAATAATAAGTCTTTAAGAATGGATAAATCTGATGATCAATCAAATGTTAATAATCCGATAATGAATGTCAATACAGACAGTTATAAATTCAAAATTGCAAATAATGCTATTACTTTTGCTACAGAACAAAATTGACTTGCTTTTTTGATTTGAATGTGAACCTAAATTGAGTGAACAAAAGGAAGGTACAGGTCTAATAAAAGAAATGATTAGATTAATTGAAAAGGATTTCAAACAAATCAACTCAAATAAGAAAGGTGATATCGGACTTGAAACCTGGTTTATCGATAGTAAAGGTGATCTGTTATACTTTACACGTGATATTGATTTATTTATCTTTCTATGCGATGTTAAAAATATATCTGTTAAAATTCTAGGAACAAACATCAAGATTATTCTACCAAAACATTTACTCCTTCAAAGATCGATAGTAGTTAAAGGTGTGGGTGTGGATGAAGAGAAGACCCACATCCACACTCAAACCTGCACCGTCCATCCGACACCCACATCAACCCAAACGCGCACCAACCCATACCCAGGCCTACACCCCACACACATACCCATACCAACACCCACCTCCACCTCCACACTCACACTCATACCCCCATCCACACGCTCACACCCGCACTCTCGCCGGAACCAATAGTCGATAAGTCAATAGGAAATATTGCGAGATCGCTAGAGCAACTAAAGTGGTTGAAAGCAGAACGTAGTATATTTTGCAATGCCCTTTGTCAACGTTTCTTCGCTCTCAGGTTTTCTAACGCTGTGTGGAGATTTTCACTGTACTCTCTGCTTCCAAAGTCTGAACAACATATTCTATTACAAAAGTTTCGAGTAGGACTCGAGCTGGTGCATCGATGATCCTTCGTCTCAGAGGATAAGTCATTCCAGTTCATTTCTGAACTTTCTCTTGAACTCTACATAAAACAATGTATTCAAAAAGGGTTAAAAAGCATGTTTACGACCGATCTAGGTGCCTCACCTGTTTTACAATTACATTATCGCTTGCAATAACATTCCCAGAAGGAAAAATAATCGCCTCGGCCATTTTGTTATTTTTTTCAGGAGCGACAACTTATAAAACGACATAAATCATTTCTCTTAAAGTGGGTGTCCTCCATGGAGAAGAATGAATGTGATAAAAGTCAATAAAACAATGCCCTTTTTGGTCTGCTTTTGCCATTTTCTTCTTGCCTGTTTCTTTTCTCTTCCTTCTCATTCTCTTTATTTCACGTCTCTCCTTCGTTTTTTTTCTCCGTTACTCTTTTCCTTTTTGCTTTTCTCTGCTTTTTATGCTTGCTTTGTTGATGTTTATTCGTAACTGTTTATTGCGTTCTTTCCATTTTTCTTTTTATTATGCATTATACGGCTGTTCTTCTATTTTCTTCTAAGTACGAATGCTTTTTATCTTTTTCATGCAGTTAGAAGTGGTTATCGGTGCACGGCGTCGGAATTGTGTGGTCTAAACCATAAATCTTTGCTTTAACTGTGAAAATTTTGCTGAGGCTTGCCTTTTCCCTCTCTATTATGCAAGTACTTCGGAGTGTCACGTTACTTGCAAAATAAAAAAAAGGGATCAAAACAATCCTCAACCTAGGGGTGGCACTTTAACTTTACTTTAAAGTTAAAGTGCATATTTTCTCATGCACCAAGGCTTCTTCAAGAATGCGATGAAACTTTAAAAAGGCTCACTAAAGGACCCATAACCCTCCTTGAGCTATATAACGGAGGTGCCCATGAGCCATCATCTACTATATAATGGGGGTATCAATAACCCTTCATAGGTTACTTAAGGGGGTACCCATAATCCTACATGAGCTACATATTGAGCGTACCCATAATCCTTCATGTACTATATAATGGGGGTACCCATGACTCAACATCTGCTGTATAATCGGAGTACCCAAAACCTTTAATCTACTGTATAATGCGGTTGCCCATAGCTCATCGTATACTGTATAAAGCAGGTACTCACAACCATCCATAAGCTATATAGTGGAGGTACCCATAACTAATTACGTACTACATAGCGATGACATCCGTTAAGCTTCGTCTTCTATATCGTGGAGGTGCTTATAGCTGAAGGAGACAGTTTTTTGAAAACGCATTGCAACTTGTCAAATAAGGAATAAGATGCGCAATAAATTGGCGTGTTTGGATCAGAATGGCTGTTCAGGACTATTAACGGAAACTGGCCATTATGGGCCGTTTTGTGCATTGCAAAGCATTTTCAGAGAAATGACTCGTGTAAGCGCATAAAAAGAAGACAAAATTGATCGTATTGTTTATATTCAAGGACTATGTTTGCAATGATTGTTAGGGTTTCTGAATGTGGAAAAGCAATCATTTTTTTGTCTTCTTCTATGCGCTTCCAGACGATTCTTGGCGAAAAATGCTTTTTGATTTGTAGAATGGCTCAAGAAGTGGTGTTTTACGCTCATAGCGAAGAAGCGCAATTGTGATATAAGCACGCGCATTTTTCGCACAATCGAGGATTTTTTTATGGGTTTGATTGCTTTTCGAAAAATTTTGTTCTGTTTGGGAATCCATCAGCTAATATATAACGAAGGTATGACTAACGCTTCATGCACTTTGTAAGGACGGTACTGCAAAGCCATCAACGAATACATATAAGGGGGTTACCTATAACTCTTCATCAACTATATAATGCGTCGTATTAATAACATTTCTTAGGATAGATATTTTGTAATCGTTTGCCATTTATGGACTGTGCAGAAGAGTACCCGGAACTCGTGGTTGGATGTACAACGGGCATAGGGAACGCTCCTGGAATGCTGTGGAGCACTAGTCTGGTCTGCGTTCATGGTATGAGGACTGTCCCTTGATATTTCCTTCATCAGATATGTAGGAATAGTGACTTCAACTCGTTAACGGCTTTCGGCCTATAGATCTCATGGGACTTCAAGACCAACTCCATGTTTTTTTTATTAATCGCATTGCGCTTTCACTAAGACGGTTGCCTGGATCCTTCTCAAGGTATCAAATCGTGGCTGCCATTGTTGTTGTATGTTTCAGCTTAATGAGTATCTGTATAACATCTTCGGATGACTGTTGTTAAGCCTGTAATTGTGTCACCACATTTGCTCTCAGTAATCGTTATCACTGATCGTATATAATTAGCTGAAAAGACATCGAAATGAGAATGAGAAATCATAAGCAGAAGAGAAACAAATTTGTGTATACATCTTTTTTTGATGAGTGAACATCTAGAATCGCGCTCTCCAAATAAGAACATATAGATAGTGGTGATCAAAACCTATGTAGAATA